GGCGCGGGAGGGGGGCAACCCCCCCAGCCGGTCCAGCCGGCGCTTCTGTGGGGCAAGAGAACCTGAATCTCCACATGAGCCTCCCAGAAAGGCAGAGCTGTCTGCATGGGGCACCGTCTGACGCAGGAGAAAGAGCTCAGGGACCTGTTGGAGCACTTGTGTGGTGTGGGGCAGTCTTCCCTGCAGGCACAGAGTTTGCCAGCCAAAGCAGACTCTCGGTAGAGAGCAGTCATGCATGCCACAGTTCAAAACCTCTGCCCCACACAAGCGATCAGGTAGGACCCTCACGCTCTGTCCTGGTTTGACAGAGGTCCTCAGCCCGGGATCTGCATGGGTATCCCAAGCAGCTGCCCTCCCTCCCCATGCTGGCACTCCCTGGGGGTGCCAGCACTCAAATGTGGGGTTCAGGCTGCCCAGCCACACTCTTCACTGCTCTGAAAACCTCCCTGACTGCATCCACCCAAGAGGGAGTGCTGGAGAACCATGCTGGGGTGGTGGAGACAGATGGGGGGCTCTTGGGCACCCAAAGGCGAGCACAGGCGCCCACAAGGTGTGGGTAGGTTGGACTGAGGTTTGGTGTCAAAGGCTTCATGTGAGTCTCATGAACAGTACACCTGGTTTCCCATCATCCTGTGCTCCGCTGCAGCCCCACATGGCTGGCCATGAACATGTCAGGGCCCTGAAATCACCAGTAGTTAATAGTCCAGACCAGCCTCAGCTGAGGTCTCCAGCCCCACCCTGCCCACAGCCCATTTAAGGGCCTTCAGCTGCTTCTTGAGCATTGCTGTGCGTGGGCTGATTTCTGCCCACGTCTCCTGTGAGGACCTGGGACCTCTGCTGTAGGTAGCTCAGCTCCTGGATGGACCCATCATGTGGACATTGCAGTTTGGCTCCAGCCCTGGATGAACTTTAGAGTTGTGTTGTAGCCATGACGTGTCTCCTTTTGTTTCTTGGATGGATCCTGGAGCTGGTTCTTTGCTTTGTCTGTCTGGGCTTGCTGGTGGACCCTGTAACCTGTCCCTTCACGTTCAGCCCCCAGGGAACTATGGCTGTTGGTGAGAACACTGCCTGCTCTGGGGTCCTTGCTGCCCCACCCTGGAGCCAGCTCCTGCTGTACCCAGGCAGAAGTTGTGAGCATGATGCTTGGGTGTGACCCTGGAGGAGAAGCGGAGGGGAAGAGCACTCACAAACTCTGGGAAAACAGTGTGGTGGAGGTGTTCTGCAAAGCGGTGGTACTGCTGGGCAGGTCCCTCATCAAGCTGCAGCTCCCACTTGTGTGGGGTGGGCAACAGGAACGCCTGGAAGGGAGAAAGTCATCAGACCTGACCTGCAGATGCTGCCCAGTGCTGGCTAACTCATCTGTAACCTGTCCCTGTGTTCCAGAGACGCACCAATGTCCCGATCTGAGTGCAGGGTGCTAGCAGCCCAGTGGGACTGATGCTCCAGGCCACTCTAGTCTGCAAGCCAGGGAGCTCACCTAAGTGATAACAAACCTCTCCCCTCAAGCAGGGGTTATGCACCAGCTTGCAAAAGCACTCGTACCCCGGTAAGGAAGCCGAGGCTGCCCTGTGTCCCCAGGCAGCCTGCCCCAGCTTGGTGTTGCCTGAGGCTTTGACATTTGGGGTTGGTGCACCAGTAGCTCCATCGAGTTTCCTGTATTTGTGTACAAAAACTTTTCCCTGAATCTACATGGAGAGTGAGGCTGGTGGGAAAGGAAAGCAGTTGGGGTGGTTTGGGTGGAGACCATCCTTCACTTCGAGAGACTGCTCCAACGTTAACTGTGGGCAGCTGCCACCTTCCTGTCTGGAGGCAGATTTTGACCTACAGTCTCTAGACCCAGAGAGTGGAGCACTGAGCTCCTGGAGCCCCAGCCTGCTGCTTGCTGCCCCTTGGAGCACTGCTCCTGCTGTCAGTCCTGCAGCAGCAGGAGCTGTTTGGCCCTTTCTGAGCGCCCTCATCTCTGTCCCAGATTCTGTCTTTTTGCTTGTGGTCATGGTTAGGAAACCTTTCCTTTGTAGTCCTCCTTGCCACAAGAGGGACTGGAGATGGGAATATAAAAAGGGAAGGGGATTGACCCTTTGAACAGAAAGTGGCAGCTCTGAGACCTGTGTGGGAAATTTCCCTCAACCCTACAGGGGCTCTTACATGAGTAGAGCTGGCTGTGATCATCTTATGAACCAAGATTTGCCCCCACCCCTTGCAATGGGGGCACTGGTACAGACAGATGCACAAGAGGGACAGGCCAGACTGTCTCTGAACACCTTCATCTCCTCAGGATGTCTTTGAGAAGCTTGCAGAGGGGGAGAGATGGGGCAAGCATGCAGCCCCACCTTCCACCACCAGCATCTCCTCTGAAGTGGCATCCAAGCTCCAGCATGTCTCCTAACCACAGCTTATTACCTAGGCTGCCCAGCCTATCTGCAGGCATGCAATGTCCTGGCTGAAGCCAAGAAGCTGGCTTAGAGATGCAGCTCCCTGAGGGACACTGCCAGGCAGGTCACCAGGAGCACTTGATGTCCCAAGGAATGGTCATACCCTGTCCTGCTAGCTGATGCCACATCTCACTGTCACACAGATTGACATCCTCCTGTTTTCTATTGTAATCCAATTTTACCTGCTCTTCGGGCTACAGGGAGTCTCTGTCCCCTTTTCCTCCTTCCTAATCCTATAAGGGGAGCCTTTGCCAATATTTTCCTACGAGGTCTTTCCAACCCCTGAATTGCTGCTTTATGAACCCTCTGCCATTTCCTGAGACTTTCCTGATAATACAGTATCTGGGGATTTCAAGTTTTGCCATTGCTCATACTTTTACTTCCCTCAGATGCCCCAAGGGAGTTCCATGAGAAAATCACAGCAGCTACTCAGCTGGGTTATCTCAGAAGGGAAGTTTGTTGTTTTCCCATTTTGAGGCTGCTTCTGCCTTATACCTGTTATGCAAGAATTCCCAGGCTGAAGAGCACTTAGCCTTCCCAGCTATTTAATGCCTTGAAATGCTGACAAGCTTAAGGACCGATTAGTCTCAAATGGCACCTCTGATGTTGTGCAAGCCCCCAGCCCATCTTTAGCTAACAAAGGCAAGTCACTGAACATCCCCAAATAATAGTGGTCTCCAGGGCTTGAGAGTATTCTGCAACCCCAAGAAACAGGTCCCAAAGCCCATGTAGGACCAAATCCCTGCAAGCTATCAGGGTTTTACCTCTAAATGGCCCATATAGGATGTCACATTCTCCTTCAGCACAGCCACGCTGGACACCATGTACTGGAACTTCTCCTCCAGGTCATCATATTCCCTGTCCTCCGTCTGCAAGGCAAGAGGCAGATTATCCCCAGCATGGGCAGGGCTGGTGCCCCTCACTGGGTAGCAGCCAGGCACCTGTCTGAAGCTCACAGTGCTGGGGACAGGAAGGGGAGATCCTGTGAAGCTCCAGGAATCTAAAAAGGGTCAAGATCTAAGGCTTTTGGTGTGGTTGTGGTGCTGGGGAACACCAGGGCATCTTTTCTTTTGCAGGGCTGCCTGGGGGTGCTTTGGGAGCCAAAGCACTCCCCTGCAGTGCTCTGAGGCAGGGAGCGAGGTGTGTGCCTGTATCCCTTCCATCCTACAGGTCCTTGGGGTGGAGGACCAGGAGCCACCCTTAGACTGCTCGAAAACGGGACGGTGGCTCCCGTGAGCACGCGGGCCACCGGGTGTCAGCACTGGCCACCTCAGCTCCGCGAGCCCTGCTCTGCTGGGGAGGCAGCCGAAAGCCCCAGAAACGGCCCAAGTGGAGGCGGCGGGGTGCGGGCTGCCCACCTTGGCCACGATGCCGGCCTCGTGCATGAGGAGGCGGCTCAGGCGCGTGGTCTTCTTGGCGATGGAGTGCGTGTTGAGGCGGGCGAGGCGGCCCCGCAGCGTCAGCGGCTCGGCCTTGGCGTATTTGGTTGCTGCCTCGGGTCAGGGCACACAAGGTGGGAGGAAAAAAAGGTCAGAAGAGGAAACTTCAGGGTAGCGTCCCCAACAGCCTGAGTGGGTGACGTGGGTGAGCGGCACCGAGGTCCTGGAGCTGACAAGTCGTGATCAACAGGATAAGCACAACCCACATCAAAGAAGGGCAGCCTGGGGGAAAGCACTATGAAAACCAAAAGAGAGTGAGCTCCTGTTTGTGGGGAGCCTGATTTCTCCTATCCCAAGGGCAGAACTGTTCCTCCCTGTTCCCCAGCTCGAAGAATGCAGACAGACTGGTTTTGTGCTCCGTGCCTCCAACGCCACCCTGCCCCTGCAGCCTTCAGGTCTTGCCTCGAGTGGCATTTTCAGGACCAGAGCAGTGCCAGGAGCTGCCTGCATGAGCCTGTGGCTCCACCTGGCAGGGAAGGAGAGCTTTGACCAGATTTCAGTGGGAGTTAGTGCAACACCACGGAGGGCTGGGCCGGGGCTTCCCAGAGGCCGTGCCCCCCGCCCGCTCACCTACTTCCCTGCGCCGCTTGTACTCGTTGATGTTGGCGTTGGCCTGGGCCATGGCGCGGACGGCTGCCTGCAGGGCTGCGTGGGCGCTGGCGCTGGCGGGGGTGTTCTCCAGGATCTTCCCCAGCAGCAGTGGGTACTTGGTGACCCTCTGCACTGGCATGACCAGGAAGAAGCTGAGGTCTGACGCACCCGTGTGAGGCCTGACAGAGAGGGGAACTGCTCCAGGTTGGTGTGGAGGGCTGCCCACGCCTCCCAGCTTCTCTGCGAGCATTGTGAGGAGGAAGCAGCCCCTCCCCAGCCACAGGGAAGCTATGTCTAGCAGACAGGGGATTTCTGGCTGTGGACCCCTTGCCCCTCACCCGCTGCAGGACCGCCCCCTGGGACTGCTGGCAGAGGCATGCTGTCCCTGCCAGCCCCAAAGGCTGTGCCAGCCCCGGGTGGGCACTCCACTTCCCTGAACAGTGCTGCACTTGTCCAGCTGGGAGGCACGGCACCAGAGCCTGCACCGGGGGCAGGGGGGAAGGAGGCTGTGGGCAGAGTGCAGGCAGGCTGCAGGCAGGACCCTCTTCTACCCGCACACAAGGCATCACTGATTTTGGCATCACATTGCCTGTGCCCTGAAACAGAGCAGTGAATCCCAGCAGCATCTCTGCTGCCACTCCTGCTTCTCCTGGTTCTGACAGTGTTTGTGACCCTACCCCCAGTAGTTCAGGAGAGGTTCAGCAGGTACCCCACG